GGCCAGACATCTGTGCCCCAGTGTTCATCATGGCACAGTTCACAATTGCAAGGAGATGGAAATAACCCAAATTTCCATCAACAGACAAATGGATAAAAAACTATGGTACATGCATACAATGGAGCACTACACATCCCAAAAGAGCAGCCATGAACACATGAAGCACATTGCCACATTGGAAGAACTGGAGGAAATGATGCTCAGCAAAGTAAGCCAAGCACCAAAGGACATGCACAACATGAGTCCACTGAGGTAAGCTTAAAAAATGGGACATAGAGGAGAAGCTACTGTATACATACATTCCTGGGGTGAGGTCCAGGTAGTATGGCAGGGGCGAAACCCAATCCAGGGATACATAAGGCAGCCAACTAAATAGGAGAGGGAAAGAAAGGTTAGCAGGAGGAGGAGGGCACTAGCCCACCAAAGATTGGGTATTGATTCTATCTCCACAGGAGAGGGAGAGAGAGACCAGGCTTCAACCCAATGTGCCAAGACCTGAATACAACACACCGGCCTGCACCAGGGAACCACCAGAGAGGTCTGCAGGGCTAAGTCTTGAGAAGCTGCAGTCAGAGCCCTAGATATGGCCCAGGGTGACCCCTTAAGTTGGCAGCACAGTAGGAGCTTTGAACAGTTTCAAACCAAGGCTCTGCCAGATATTCAAGCCAGATTCAGAAGAGGACGTGGAACAAAGGGTATTGCTGCTGACGTCAGATGGATCTTGGCTGAACACAGAACACCAGAAAAGGTGTTTACCTGTGTTTTACTGACTAGGCAAAGGCATTCAAAGATGTGGATGATAACTACGGATATCATTGAGAAGAAAGGGCATTCCTGAACACTTACTATTATGCTCATAAGGAAAATGCATGTTGACCAACATGCATTTTTTTTTGGCCTTTCTTGTGACCTTGGTGTGCTAGGGTTCCACTAACATTCACATGCTCACCTTGTGAGGATGCTATGTGTAATTGCTTATAATGGAAGCAATGTTCGATGGCACCAAGTACCAGGCTTAGAGGGTGTTTCTTCCACGCTTGACTGCTTTAGACAGCTTATTGCGGGCTGGGAAATCAAAAGCATGAGAAGGCCCTCTTTTCTCGGCAAGAACAAGCCAGGAGGAAGCAGGATGTCAAATGACAAGCAACTCCAACATATTAGAAAATGTTTCCATCTCAAGCGTTGTAGAAGAGGCAGAGAATGCAGCACCGAAAAGGAGACCCAATCAATAGTTATGTGCATCCTTTGCAGGGGGCCCATATGTTTTACCTCAAGTTTCCTAAACTTTACACAGAAAGTAAATTCGCTAAGAACAAACCATTTTTTCTTGTGCCTAATCCCATCTATCCTACACCCAGAGCCCAAGGAGACATATGTCTCCCATGTACTATTTATCAAAATCCACTTTATGTAACAAACTTTTAACGTGACAAAATTATTCCGTTACTGAAAAGCTGTACACCAACCCAATCTACCAAACCTAAAATAATTTGATCACGAAAGGGTTAAAATCAGGAAAGGTGTGAGATAGGGCCTAATCCTTTCACCACACCTAGTCAGCCTGTTTGCTTCACAAATAATCCAAGAGGCTGGGCCGTATGAAGAAGAATTTGGCTTCAGGTTTGGAGGAAGACTCATTAACAACCAGCGATATGCAAATAACACAACTTTGCTTGCTGAAAGCAAAGGGGACTTGAAGCACTTAGAGATCAAAGACCTTCTGCATGGGTTACACCTCAATATAAAATAAAATCCCTCAAACGGGCCCAATACCAGCTATACACATCATGATGAATGGAGAAAAGATTGGATTTGTCCATGATTTTATCTTACTTGGATCTACAATCGATGCTCATGGAAGCAAAAATCAAGAAACCAAACGAGATATGGCATTGGATAAATTTGCTGCAACATTTTTTCTTGAAAATGTTGAAAAACAAAGGTGTCACTTTGATGACTCAGGTGTTCCTCTCCAAGCCACCGGTTTTCCACCACTCCCTGCACATGGAAAAGCTGGGCGGTGACGAAGGAAGGCCGAAGAAGACATGATGCCTTTGAATTTGGGTGTGGATGACGAGTACTTACTGGACTTGCTCTTCTGAACTTCCAAAAGAACAAACAAGTCTGTCCCGGAAGAGGTCTGGCCAGAAGGCTCCTTCAAAGCAGAGATGGTGGGACTTTGTCTCATGGACTTGGGACATGTCCTCTGGAGAGAACAGTCCTGAGCAAAAGGACGTCATGCTTGGTAAAAGAGGGGCTCCGAGAAAATGAGGAAGACCCTCAACTAGCTAACTTGACAAGGTGCTGCAACAGCGGGCTCAGACTTGACAGTGGCGAGGATGGCGTGGGACCGGCTGGTGTTTCGCTCTGTGGTCCGTAGCTCTGCTGCTGTGAGTTGGAACCAACCCCATGACATGTGACAACAGCAGGCCCGGACTGAGATGACTTAGCTGGCAGGAGAGACATCCTGTTTGCTACGTGGCCAGTACCCAACAACCATTTACAAGCACCCTGCACCTTACCGAACATGAGAAGGGCCCCGTTAGCATTGTCTGAACAGCCTGTTTCGAAAAATGATTACAGTCAGCTTTTTCTGGTAATTAGGGAATAAGAAAGAAGATGTCAATATTTTGAAGATTGAGGGCAGAAAATTATATGTGTTCAATGAAAAATGGCCGGATTTAGAATTGACTAAGGAAATCGCACCCATGTTGTCTTTGGAGGTGGATCTGGGTGGCTGTGAATGGGTGGGGAAGTTTGTGCAGGAAACAGAAAGTGAATTAGCATAATAGAGAATTTAAATGAGAAAAAACATGTTTGCTAATTTCCATCTCTCTTCTTTAATAGAACAGACATCCTCTACCCCAGCATGAAAGCTATAGCCAGGCAGATGGGAAAAGAAGATGAATTTGAAGGCTTGATAATAAAGAATCAGTCTATTCTACCCCCCAAAGGAGCTTCAGAAATTGAAATAAAAACTCAGCAGGTATGCAAGAGCTATGTTTAGTGTGGTTTTGAAAAATTGCCTGATGGCATTTAAAACGCCATTTCTACCCAACTGGTGGTTTTCTAATAAGTTAAGTATAAGTGGAGGATTTGAACAGGCTCCCGGGGAGCTGAGTATTTAAAGGGATTTCAGACTTTGTGTATTAGTCCGGGTAGACTAGAGAAACAAATCCAGGGACACTCATATGTGTATAAGAAAGAGCTTTATATACAAGAGCAGTTGAATATTGAGAAAATGACCCCACCCAGTCCAGATCAAGTCCATAAGTCTGATAGTAGCCCATATGTCTGATGTCAATCTATAAAGTCCTCTTCAGAATCACAAAACACATGCAATGGTGCCAAATGCAGGAAGATCATAGGCCAGTGGGTGGGAAGTCTCGTGGGTCCAGTGGTATTGTAAGCATCTCAGTGCTGACAGGGGTCTCCATGAGGCTTCTCCAGTTCCCAGGGCACGGGGTCTATCAGCACAGTGCATGTGTCTTGTCAGTAGAGTGTCTCTCAGGGAGAGATCAGAGAGAAATGTCTCCCACCTCCAAGGAGAAAATACAGCAATTCCCAGAATTCTCAGGAGAAGGCCTTGCCCACACAGAGGCCTCATTGATTATATCTTGATTGACAGGTCAGACTCCACCCCTTCACTTGTAATCCTCTCAAATTGACCCCAGATTATGTAACTACCACACTTTGATTGAGCAAATTCAAGAAACAGTTGCCCTTTAGTCAATCCCAACTACCCAGAGGTTCCATTTGTGTCAGAGCAGACTTGTGCTCTGGAGGATTTTCCTGGGCTGGGTTTTCTGAGATATCTCTGGGTGAATTTGGATGTCAAATGCTTTTGTTAGCAGCTGAGGGCATTCATGAACTGCACCTTGCTGGGATTCCAGGCAAATAACCTCTTCCTAAAAGAGCCTTTGGGGCCCTGGTGGTGTAGTGGTTAAGCACTGGACCCCTAACTACAAGGGCAGCAGTTTGAAACCACCATCTGCTTTCTATCCCTGTGAATAGTTACAGTGTCAGAAGCCCACAGGGGCAGTTCAACCTTGTCCTATAAGGTTGCGATCAGTTAGCATTAACTCGATGGCAGTGAGTTTGGTTTTTGGAAAGGAGCCCTGGTCGGATGGTGAGTGGGCTGCCAACCTCAAGTTCAGCAGTTCAGTTCTACCAGCTGCTCCAAGGGAGAAGGAGGAGGCTTTCAACTCCCATAGGTGTTTACAACCCTGGAATGGACTTGATGGCAATTGGTTGGGTTGGGAGTTTTGATGGAGCTGTAAAGGAGCATTGGTAGTGCTATGGAATAAGTATCGGGCTACCAACCACAAGGTTGGTCTTTCAAACCCACCATCTGCTCCATGGGAGAAAGATGAGGCTGTCTGCCCCATAAAGAGTTGCCGTCTTGGGAAAGCCACTGTGGGTCTGCAGAGGGGTTGGTTTGGGTTCATGGTAGTGAGGACTTCACAATCTAATGGAACCTGGGAAGCCAACATGGCTGTGGGCCAGGAAGGAAAGATGTTGGTCTCTGCAGAACTGTCCCAGAGGTATTTGGGAGCCTAAGAAACCCTTGTTCCCCTTCAGCAAGGAGCTGAAGATGGGACCCACCTGCAGGCCCTTCTGCAAGAATTTGGCTTAGAAGCCCTGAGTTTAATCTGAAAATGGAGACTGACTCTCAACTTATGCTTCCTCTAGCTTCAGAAACTTCTAGAAAGCCTTGAACTTCACATGATCCAAGAAGTCATAAGGAAAGTTAGCCAAGAGATGACACTGGTAAAAGCAGAAAAGTCAAAGGAGGATTATCTTCTCCCCACAGGTAAAGCATATTTGTTGTATGACTCCATGAAATAACACTGGTTGGTATTTTTTTTAATTAGAAAAGCACTCCATAAATCCATAATCATTTAGAAATCACTGCAATGTCCAGAAAACTAGACAAGAAAGGCCTCTCTGACCTTGACCCAGAGGTGTACTTTTAATATTTTGATATATTTCCTTCCAGTTAAAGGATTTTATTATTAGAAAATATGTTAGCTTCAGTCTTAACTCTGCTGATTAAACTGACAAAGTTGAAATGGGGAAACGCATAAAGCCTTTCTCAAAACATACTTGTATAGAAGCATAAGAACACACAGCTCATGAGGAGGCTTCAAAAGTTCATGGAAGAATAGAAGTAAAATATCATGGACTTTTTCTATACACTTTTTGAAGCCTCTTTCTATATCGGAGCCCTGAGGCATAGCGGTTAGGGCTGGGCTGCTGACTGCAAGTTTGAGCCCCAGCTCCCCTCTGTGAGAAAGAGGGGCTTTCTACACCTGTAAAGAGCTATGGTCTCAAACCCGCCCCCACCCCCCACCCCCGGCAGTTCTCCCCCTCCTCCGGGGTTCTGTGTGTTGGCATCGACTTGATGGCAGTGAATTTGGGGTTTTTAGAGTCCCTGAAAATTATATCCTTGGTCCTTTTCTGAATGACAGTGGCTGCCACTCGTGATAGCTCCATAACCTTTGGAACTCATAACCTTTGAAACAGTTGCCTGACTCACACAATGATTTAGGTTCTCCTTCTGAGGCAAAGTACACTGGCACTGGCATGTTAATGACTAACTACACTACAGGTCTCACCTGGGGAGCCCTGGTGGCACTGTGGCTTGGACACTGGGCTGCTAGCTTCAAAGTTCGTGGTTCAAACCCAGCAGCCGATCTGCAGGAGAAAAATAAGGCGGTCTGATCTCACAAAGATGTACAATCTGGGAAGCCCTCCATAGGGTCACTATGAGTCAGAATTGACTCGGTGGCAGTGGGTTTGGTTTAGCTCTGTCCTCATCTAAGACACTGTCATTTGATCAGTGCTTCAAGTCACCGAGTTCCGTGAACAGGGCTTCAGGGAAAGTCCGAGCCAGGGGAAGGCAAGCCACCCCCCAGCTGGGTGTCTCTGAATGTCACCAGAGAGCCAAGCGTGGTTAAGCTCCGGTTACAGAATGCTCAACAGACAAAGCCATCTGTTGTTTGCCCCGGTGGGCTGGATCCAGGCAGCTCTCCTCCGAGTCCTTGGGGAGCTTCCACCGCGCAGCAGGTGCGACCATCTGCACAGTGCAGGGCTGCGGTTCTTGTGAAATGCCCGTGGGGTGGGGGGGTCAGGGTCGGGGGAGCATCTTTGTCATGTGACTGTGCTGCTCGCTCAGGGGCTGTCAGCTGTGCTTGTAGAGCACATTGCAAGGGCTAAAGAGCAAAGTTTTTTATGGGCCATTCATCATTCATAGGGATCCTAAAGGATGGGTTAGAACCATACCCCTCCCTGAGTTTCTGATTCTGTAACTCTTAACGGAATAGAAAGCCCCATCTTTCTCCTGAGGAGTGACTAGTGGTTTTGAACTCCTGACCTTGTGGATTGCAGCCCTACTCGTAACCACTACACCTCCAGGGCTCCTTTTGGAGTCCCTGAGCCTTTTTGGCAACACACCTCTGGGGGCCTCGAACCATTGAAGTAGTGGCATGCACATTAACCGTTTTCACCATGTAAAAGGTGCAAGGTGCAAAATAACCTTGTACTGTGCAAATGCTTAATGTGCATGCCACTAACTGAACAGTTCCAACTCTCCCAGAGAGCAGGGGAAGAAAGGCCTGGTGATCTGCTTCCAAAGTTTCAGCCACTGAAACCCTCAGGGGTGCAGTGACTCTGACTGACGTGGGTGGTTAGGAGAGTGGATGGTGATACTACTAGGCCTTGACCTGTGGCAACCCTAGATACAGAGTCAAGTTGCGCCCAGACTGTTCTTGGAGAGGGACACAAACAAAGAGACTAGAAAGTTGAGGTTGCATTAAGGCATCTATTAGAGTGGAGACCTGCAGGAGAGACCTACAGGGGAGATGCCACAGGCAGCAGAGTCTCTTCAGGTTACAAATGAAGTACCGTATATATTCGAGTATAAGCCAACCCGAATATCAGCCAAGGCACCTAATTTTACCACAAAAACTGCATTTAAATGTGCTGGAGAGAATCTAATGCCAGCAGCTTAAGTGGAGAGGAAATGTTTTGAGAATGATGAGGGCAATGAATATACAAATGCGCTTTACACAATTGATGTATGTATGGATTGTGATGAGTTGTATGAGCCCCTAATAAAATGATTAAAATAAACAAAAAAACAAAGCAATACTTATATAGAAACCCTGGGGGGGGGGTTGCTGGAAAACTCAGCTTATACACGAGTATATACAGTAAATGGTTTTTTTAAGGCTTTTTTTTAGTGAATTTTTAAAAAATCATTTTATTGGGGGCTCATACAACTCTTATCACAATCCATACATACATCAATTGTGTAAAGCACATTTGTACA